CGGGGAGTAACAGGAATATTGCAGGTTGAGAATGAGTACGGGAGTAACAGGAATATTGCAGGTTGAGTAACAGGAATATTGTAGGTTGAGAATGAGTACGGGAGTAACAGGAATATTGCAGGTTGAGAATGAGTACGGGAGTAACAGGAATATTGCAGGTTGAGAATGAGTACGGGAGTAACAGGAATATTGCAGGTTGAGAATGAGTACGCGAGTAACAAGAATATTGCAGGTTGAGAATGAGTACGGGAGTAACAGGAATATTGCAGGTTGAGAATGAGTACGGGAGTAACAGGAATATTGCAGGTTGAGAATGAGTACGGGAGTAACAGGAATATTGCAGGTTGAGAATGAGTACGGGAGTAACAGGAATATTGCAGGTTGAGAATGAGTACGGGAGTAACAGGAATATTGCAGGTTGAGAATGAGTACGGGAGTAACAGGAATATTGCAGGTTGAGAATGAGTACGGGAGTAACAGGAATATTGCAGGTTGAGAATGAGTACGGGAGTAACAGGAATATTGCAGGTTGAGAATGAGTACGGGAGTAACAGGAATATTGCAGGTTGAGAATGAGTACGGGAGTAACAGGAATATTGCAGGTTGAGAATGAGTACGGGAGTAACAGGAATATTGCAGGTTGAGAATGAGTACGGGAGTAACAGGAATATTGCAGGTTGAGAATGAGTACGGGAGTAACAGGAATATTGCAGGTTGAGAATGAGTACGGGAGTAACAGGAATATTGCAGGTTGAGAATGAGTACGGGAGTAACAGGAATATTGCAGGTTGAGAATGAGTACGGGAGTAACAGGAATATTGCAGGTTGAGAATGAGTACGGGAGTAACAGGAATATTGCAGGTTGAGAATGAGTACGGGAGTAACAGGAATATTGCAGGTTGAGAATGAGTACGGGAGTAACAAGAATATTGCAGGTTGAGAATGAGTACGGGAGTAACAGGAATATTGCAGGTTGAGAATGAGTACGGGAGTAACAGGAATATTGCAGGTTGAGAATGAGTACGGGAGTAACAGGAATATTGCAGGTTGAGAATGAGTACGGGAGTAACAGGAATATTGCAGGTTGAGAATGAGTACGGGAGTAACAGGAATATTGCAGGTTGAGAATGAGTACGGGAGTAACAGGAATATTGCAGGTTGAGAATGAGTACGGGAGTAACAGGAATATTGCAGGTTGAGAATGAGTACGGGAGTAACAGGAATATTGCAGGTTGAGAATGAGTACGGGAGTAACAGGAATATTGCAGGTTGAGAATGAGTACGGGAGTAACAGGAATATTGCAGGTTGAGAATGAGTACGGGAGTAACAGGAATATTGCAGGTTGAGAATGAGTACGGGAGTAACAGGAATATTGCAGGTTGAGAATGAGTACGGGAGTAACAGGAATATTGCAGGTTGAGAATGAGTACGGGAGTAACAGGAATATTGCAGGTTGAGAATGAGTACGGGAGTAACAGGAATATTGCAGGTTGAGAATGAGTACGGGAGTAACAGGAATATTGCAGGTTGAGAATGAGTACGGAGTAACAGGAATATTGCAGGTTGAGAATGAGTACGGGAGTAACAGGAATATTGCAGGTTGAGAATGAGTACAGGAGTAACAGGAATATTGCAGGTTGAGAATGAGTAGGGAGTAACAGGAATATTGCAGGTTGAGAATGAGTACGGGAGTAACAGGAATATTGCAGGTTGAGAATGAGTACGGGAGTAACAGGAATATTGCAGGTTGAGAATGAGTACGGGAGTAACAGGAATATTGCAGGTTGAGAATGAGTACGGGAGTAACAGGAATATTGCAGGTTGAGAATGAGTACGGGAGTAACAGGAATATTGCAGGTTGAGAATGAGTACGGGAGTAACAGGAATATTGCAGGTTGAGAATGAGTACGGGAGTAACAGGAATATTGCAGGTTGAGAATGAGTACGGGAGTAACAAGAATATTGCAGGTTGAGAATGAGTACGGGAGTAACAGGAATATTGCAGGTTGAGAATGAGTACGGGAGTAACAGGAATATTGCAGGTTGAGAATGAGTACGGGAGTAACAGGAATATTGCAGGTTGAGAATGAGTACGGGAGTAACAGGAATATTGCAGGTTGAGAATGAGTAGGGGAGTAACAGGAATATTGCAGGTTGAGAATGAGTACGGGAGTAACAGGAATATTGCAGGTTGAGAATGAGTACGGGAGTAACAGGAATATTGCAGGTTGAGAATGAGTACGGGAGTAACAGGAATATTGCAGGTTGAGAATGAGTACGGGAGTAACAAGAATATTGCAGGTTGAGAATGAGTACGGGAGTAACAGGAATATTGCAGGTTGAGAATGAGTACGGGAGTAACAGGAATATTGCAGGTTGAGAATGAGTACGGGAGTAACAGGAATATTGCAGGTTGAGAATGAGTACGGGAGTAACAGGAATATTGCAGGTTGAGAATGAGTACGGGAGTAACAGGAATATTGCAGGTTGAGAATGAGTACGGGAGTAACAGGAATATTGCAGGTTGAGAATGAGTACGGGAGTAACAGGAATATTGCAGGTTGAGAATGAGTACGGGAGTAACAGGAATATTGCAGGTTGAGAATGAGTACGGGAGTAACAGGAATATTGCAGGTTGAGAATGAGTACGGGAGTAACAGGAATATTGCAGGTTGAGAATGAGTACGGGAGTAACAGGAATATTGCAGGTTGAGAATGAGTACGGGAGTAACAGGAATATTGCAGGTTGAGAATGAGTACGGGAGTAACAGGAATATTGCAGGTTGAGAATGAGTACGGGAGTAACAGGAATATTGCAGGTTGAGAATGAGTACGGGAGTAACAGGAATATTGCAGGTTGAGAATGAGTACGGGAGTAACAGGAATATTGCAGGTTGAGAATGAGTACGGGAGTAACAGGAATATTGCAGGTTGAGAATGAGTACGGGAGTAACAGGAATATTGCAGGTTGAGAATGAGTACGGGAGTAACAGGAATATTGCAGGTTGAGAATGAGTACGGGAGTAACAGGAATATTGCAGGTTGAGAATGAGTACGGGAGTAACAGGAATATTGCAGGTTGAGAATGAGTACGGGAGTAACAGGAATATTGCAGGTTGAGAATGAGTTCGGGAGTAACAGGAATATTGCAGGTTGAGAATGAGTACGGGAGTAACAGGAATATTGCAGGTTGAGAATGAGTACGGGAGTAACAGGAATATTGCAGGTTGAGAATGAGTACGGGAGTAACAGGAATATTGCAGGTTGAGAATGAGTACGGGAGTAACAGGAATATTGCAGGTTGAGAATGAGTACGGGAGTAACAGGAATATTGCAGGTTGAGAATGAGTACGGGAGTAACAGGAATATTGCAGGTTGAGAATGAGTACGGGAGTAACAGGAATATTGCAGGTTGAGAATGAGTACGGGAGTAACAGGAATATTGCAGGTTGAGAATGAGTACGGGAGTAACAGGAATATTGCAGGTTGAGAATGAGTACGGGAGTAACAGGAATATTGCAGGTTGAGAATGAGTACGGGAGTAACAGAATATTGCAGGTTGAGAATGAGTACGGGAGTAACAGGAATATTGCAGGTTGAGAATGAGTACGGGAGTAACAGGAATATTGCAGGTTGAGAATGAGTACGGGAGTAACAGGAATATTGCAGGTTGAGAATGAGTACGGGAGTAACAGGAATATTGCAGGTTGAGAATGAGTACGGGAGTAACAGGAATATTGCAGGTTGAGAATGAGTACGGGAGTAACAGGAATATTGCAGGTTGAGAATGAGTACGGGAGTAACAGGAATATTGCAGGTTGAGAATGAGTACGGGAGTAACAGGAATATTGCAGGTTGAGAATGAGTACGGGAGTAACAGGAATATTGCAGGTTGAGAATGAGTACGGGAGTAACAGGAATATTGCAGGTTGAGAATGAGTACGGGAGTAACAGGAATATTGCAGGTTGAGAATGAGTACGGGAGTAACAGGAATATTGCAGGTTGAGAATGAGTACGGGAGTAACAGAATATTGCAGGTTGAGAATGAGTACGGGAGTAACAGGAATATTGCAGGTTGAGAATGAGTACGGGAGTAACAGGAATATTGCAGGTTGAGAATGAGTACGGGAGTAACAAGAATATTGCAGGTTGAGAATGAGTACGGGAGTAACAGGAATATTGCAGGTTGAGAATGAGTACGGGAGTAACAGGAATATTGCAGGTTGAGAATGAGTACGGGAGTAACAGGAATATTGCAGGTTGAGAATGAGTACGGGAGTAACAAGAATATTGCAGGTTGAGAATGAGTACGGGAGTAACAGGAATATTGCAGGTTGAGAATGAGTACGGGAGTAACAGGAATATTGCAGGTTGAGAATGAGTACGGGAGTAACATGAATATTGCAGGTTGAGAATGAGTACGGGAGTAACAGGAATATTGCAGGTTGAGAATGAGTACGGGAGTAACAGGAATATTGCAGGTTGAGAATGAGTTCGGGAGTAACAAGAATATTGCAGGTTGAGAATGAGTACGGGAGTAACAGAATATTGCAGGTTGAGAATGAGTACGGGAGTAACAGGAATATTGCAGGTTGAGAATGAGTACGGGAGTAACAGGAATATTGCAGGTTGAGAATGAGTACGGGAGTAACAGAAATATTGCAGGTTGAGAATGAGTTCGGGAGTAACAGGAATATTGCAGGTTGAGAATGAGTACGGGAGTAACAGGAATATTGTAGGTTGAGAATGATTACGCGAGTAACAGGAATATTGCAGGCTGAGAATGAGTACAGGAGTAACAGGAATATTGTAGGTTGAGAATGATTACGCGAGTAACAGGAATATTGCAGGTTGAGAATGAGTTCGGGAGTAACAGGAATATTGCAGGTTGAGAATGAGTAGGGGAGTAACAGAAATATTGCAGGTTGAGAATGATTACGGGAGTAACAGGAATATTGAAGGTTGAGAATGAGTACGCGAGTAACAGGAATATTGCAGGTTGAAAATGAGTACGGGAGTAACAAACCCTGCGATGCAGGTCACTTTGACTACATGACCCAGTTGAGAGACATCTACAGAGAACACCTGGGTGAAGAGATAGTCCTGCTCACCGTGGACGGAGATAGGTATACATTATACATTATACATTATACATTATACATTATACATTATACATTATACATTATACACGATACACTATACATAATAGGTTCAGGTACATTGTATTATACTGGTTTATGATGTCCACTAATTTCAGCTACAAGCTGGCTCAGTGTGGTAATATAGAGGGGCTTTACTCCACACTTAACTTCGGGTCAGGAGGTAATATTACCAGCAAGTTCCTGGTACAGAGGAAACAGGAACCCAGAGGTCCTTTTGTGTGCAGCGCCTTCTTCAGCGGCTGGCTCGATCATTGGGGGCACAAGTTTGCTAAGGTAATTACCTTCATTGTTGTTAATAGTAGCAATATTACTAATAGTCTTTTAACACGCACGCAGTTTTTGTATATTATTAGTATATTTAATATGTATATTATTAGTATATTTAATATATTGTAAGTATATAATATAGTATATATATATTGTAGTTTAACCGTCTCTCCTGCAGACAGGAGCAGAACACCTCGCACAGGGGTTACAGAACCTACTGGAGTTTAACGGGAAAACAGCCAGTGTCAGCATGTACATGTTCCACGGGGGCACCAACTTCGCTTACATGCAGGTTACCAAGGTTACTTATAGGTTACTATGGTTACTTATAGGTTACCAAGGTTACATACAAGAGTTACAAGAGTTGCAAGAGTTGCAAGATTTACAAGAGTTACAATAGTTACAAGAGTTACAAAAGTTATATTTCTAGTCGATGTGCACTGATCCGTAGTGTTGTGATACTCCCGCGGTCTGCGTATTTACTGGCGCTATTTAGCGTGAGGGCCCGTTAACACTAGGTTTAGGTAACACTAGGTTTAGGTAACACTAGGTTTAGGTAACACTAGGTTTAGGTAACACTAGGTTTAGGTAACACTAGGTTTAGGTAACACTAGGTTTAGGTAACACTAGGTTTAGGTAACACTAGGTTTAGGTAACACTAGGTTTAGGTAACACTAGGTTTAGGTAACACTAGGTTTAGGTAACACTAGGTTTAGGTAACACTAGGTTTAGGTAACACTAGGTTTAGGTAACACTAGGTTTAGGTAACACTAGGTTTAGGTAACACTAGGTTTAGGTAACACTAGGTTTAGGTAACACTAGGTTTAGGTAACACTAGGTTTAGGTAACACTAGGTTTAGGTAACACTAGGTTTAGGTAACACTAGGTTTAGGTAACACTAGGTTTAGGTAACACTAGGTTTAGGTAACACTAGCATTCTTTGCAGAAGTTGGAGTTCAAGCCACGATAAAAATCTAATTTCTGACAATATTAGTTGGATAAGTGTTGATACATTCTCTGAACCGAGATTTTAAACTAAAGGCTATGGAGATCAATGGGTAGCGGCCTGGTGTGTTATCCATAATGTGATCCACTTGTTCTAATAGCATGTTAGGTGTGTACTTATCCCAACATCTCCTCTGAGAACCCCTCTACAAACATCGGCGTAGGGGAAGACTACACCATACCTATGTAGACATTCTGGACCTTTACTGATAGTTGAAATTCGACATATGACGTCATCTAGCGTCATCTAGCGTCATCTAGCGTGAAATATCGCCAGATGATGATAGATGACGCTAGATGACGCTAGATGACGCTAGATGACGCCAATTAGCGACATTGTCGCTAAGTGCATGGCACCTTTCGAATGTCGCTATCTAGCGCTATCTAGCGCTATCTAGCGCTATCTAGCGCTACATGACGCTATATGACGCTAGATGACGCTAGATGACGCTATATGACGCTAGATGACGCTAAGCACGCAGCACTGACGCCAGGCGACAGATAGCGCTATTTTCATAAAAATTCTAGGGACGACATCTAGCGTCATCTAGCGTCATATGTTGCCGCGACATCTGACGCTATCTGACGCCATCTAGCGACATCTGACGACATCTGACGACATCTGACGCGACGACATCTGACGCAGGCGACATCAAGCGCTGGATAGCGGGATAAGTCAGTTTACGACAGTTCACGCTATCTAGCGCTATATAGCGTCATGTAGCGCTAGATAGCGCTAGATAGCGCTAGATAGCGCTAGATAGCGACATTCGAAAGGTGCCGTGCACTTAGCGACAATGTCGCTAATTGGCGTCATCTAGCGTCATCTAGCGTCATCTAGCGTCATCTATCATCATCTGGCGATATTTCACGCTAGATGACGCTAGATGACGCTAGATGACGTCATATGTCGAATTTCAACTATCAGTAAAGGTCCGACATTCTGCGGAGGAACACGGGGTTTGACGACAGCAAAGAGACAAACAACCTCAGGATAGAGAGAAAAATCATTTTTGCTCGGAAATCGAAGCCGCCCTAAGTCGTGTCAGCTGACGAAATATACATATATTGCAAAATACAATTTTAATATATTGCTAGCACTGGTTAGCTGACGAATCATATTGCAAAGTCCTATTTAGACATTTTGCGCTACTTAGCGCTAACTTACGCTAACTTGCGCTAACTGACAACAGCGCTAGCTATCGAATATCACAAACTCTTCAAACTATCGGGTGCGAGAATTTCGCACAAATAGCACATAGCGCTATTTAGATTATCGCAAATAAAACAAATAATAAAATGAGAGTTTTTCAGAAGCAAGCTGCTGCTTTATGTGCCGTACAGAATCTTCAGTTACCATAGTTGTGCTTGCCAGGACTCCGTTCAAGTCTCCGTTAATAGTTAGTTTAGTGTGCATAGAAAATCAGCAGGTTAATTTAAACTGTTCAAAGAGCGTGTTGCTTCTTAAGGCTACAGCTTTAGAACAAAAAGAGAAAATCATTATATCATTCTAGGACATTTTTAAAGAACACGTGTGCCAAGTTTTAAACTGTTAAAAAAGAGTTTTTAAACACAGTTCTATTTGAAGGATAATTTTCAGTAAATTAGGAAGCCTATACTTAATTAAGAAAAGGAAACTAACTGTAAGATTTAACTCTGCAAATAAAGATGCAGGGCGCAGGCGGAGGAAGTTTAAATATGAAGTAATGTGGCATAAATTATACATGAGCATAAAAACAAGTAAACAATAATATACAAGGCTAGTATAGGTCACTCCCGGTGTTGGGATGGTCTGAGGTGCTTATCTCCTTTTCATTAACCCTAAGCCACTCTGTGTTGAGGCACTATACTGGTATACTAGCTGTAGGGGGGGTTAGCCCTACGAGCCAGGGAGTCTGTATCACCAGCCGAAGCTGTACCAAATCACAGCTTTGTAACTGGCCGACTTGAATCCGACCGGATTTCTGCCTGGGAGGCGATCGATAGTTTTACCACTACACCACCCGGCCGACATCTATAGCCTAATTAATCTTATGGTTCAGGGAAGAAAAGGAGACTAGAAAGTAGAATAACGCCACCACTACAGACACCCCCCTCTCCTAATTAATGTATTGGTTCAGGGAGGAAGAGGAGATTGGAATAACGCCACCACTACAGACTACCCCCCCTCCTAATTAATGTATTGGTTCAGGGAGGAAGAGGAGACTGGAATAACGCCACCACTACAGACTACCCCCCTCCTAATTAATGTAATGGTTCAGGGAGGAAGAGGAGACTGGAATAACGCCATCACTACAGAACCCCCCCTCCTAATTAATGTAATGGTTCAGGGAGGAAGAGGAGACTGGAATAACGCCACCACTACAGACTACCCCCCCCCCCCCTCCTAATTAATGTAATGGTTCAGGGAGGAAGAGGAGACTGGAATAACGCCACCACTACAGAACCCCCCCTCCTGATTAATGTAATGGTTCAGGGAGGAAGAGGAGACTGGAATAACGCCACCACTACAGACTACCCCCCCCCCCTCCTAATTAATGTAATGGTTCAGGGAGGAAGAGGAGACTGGAATAACGCCATCACTACAGAACCCCCCCTCATAATTAATGTAATAGTCCAGGGAGGAAGAGGAGATTGGAATAACGCCACCACTACAGACTACCCCCCCTCCTAATTAATGTAATGGTTCAGGGAGGAAGAGGAGACTGGAATAACGCCACCACTACAGACTACCCCCCCCCCCCCCTCCTAATTAATGTAATGGTTCAGGGAGGAAGAGGAGACTGGAATAACGCCACCACTACAGACTACCCCCGACTGTGGGGTAAGATGACTAGTTATGACTACGACGCACCCCTCTCAGAAGCCGGGGACACTACTTGGAAATATCAGCTCCTGCGCCAAGTCATCGGGTATAATCACTTCCTCTTAAGTCTTAACATTATCACAATTTAAATGAGGAGATTTACGTTATTTAAGAGAAAGTAAGAACAAGTTAGTAAGTTTAAGTAAGTAAGAACATATGATTATTAAGTGTCCTGCTCCTAGCAGGATGTTTATTAGAAAACACAATTACAGAAACTGAAAAATACAAACTTTTATTATATAAAGTTACATCACAAGAATTTTTACATAGGAAGTCATCAGAAAAAAAGACCGTAGAACAATGAAAAGTTCTGAAATACACTTCACTTAGATTCCTTACATAAATAAAAACAGTTTATAGAGGAATGCTGGGCCGTTATTCCCCCGGAAATTGTTAACTTGCCAGCAAATAATCATGAGACAAACATTAATCTTATTATAATTTGTGCAAGGCAAGGAATTTGTGTAACCATAGTTGGACAAATTCTTTGAAATGTGTATCAGAGGAATCCCGAAAAGCAGATCCTGCAGATCCTATATCAGGTCACCTATATCAGGTCACCTATATACCTGTATATAATAGATAGGTACCTATTACCGATAGATAATACAATTACGAAGTCTAGCTTTGTGTTCAATACCTGTTTAGGTCTACAACAGCCGCGTAACGTTGCCTGTTGCCGAAAAAGCGCCCCCCTGTTGGCGCCCCCTCCCCATTTGGCGCAGATTTGCTAGTACCTCAGTTAAGTTTTCCAAAATTGTCCCACATTCAAACCCCCCACCCCCCGCACAGCGGGGTCAGCAGGCCCCTCGTTACGCCACTAGTCTACAAACCCTTGTGATAACATGACATAATCGGGTAGAGAATTTCCTGCTTCTAGTCATATCATTACTATTACATGTATTAGATCATTGCTTATAATTCATAAGTCCTCAACGAAATCCCTACGATTTCTTTTGAACAAGAAATGCGGCCGCTACCTGGCTCACCGATTAGGTAAGTAAATCCGGCCGCTACCTGGCTCGCGGCCAAGGTAGGTAAATCCGGCCGCTACCTGGCTCACCAAGGTAAGTAAATCTGGCTGCTACCTGGCTCACCAAGGTAGGTAAATCCGGCCGCTACCTGGCTCACCAAGGTAAGTAAATCCGGCCGCTACCTGGCTCACCAAGGTAATTGTAAATCCGGCCGCTACCTTGCTCGCGGCCAAGGTAATTGTAAATCTGGCCGCTACCTGGCTCGCGGCCAAGGTAAGTAAATCTGGCTGCTACCTGGCTCGCGGCCAAGGTAAGTAAATCTGGCTGCTACCTGGCTCGCGGCCAAGGTAATTGTAAATCCGGCCGCTACCTGGCTCGCGGCCAAGGTAATTGTAAATCCTGCCGCTACCTGGCTCGCGGCCAAGGTAAGTAAATCCGGCTGCTACCTGGCTCGCGGCCAAGGTAAGTAAATCTTGCTGCTACCTGGCTCACCAAGGTAAGTAAATCCTGCCGCTACCTTGCTCACCAAGGTAATTGTAAATCCTGCCGCTACCTTGCTCACCAAGGTAATTGTAAATCTGGCTGCTACCTGGCTCACCAAGGTAAGTAAATCCTGCCGCTACCTTGCTCACCAAGGTAATTGTAAATCTTGCTGCTACCTGGCTCACCAAGGTAAGTAAATCCTGCCGCTACCTTGCTCACCAAGGTAATTGTAAATCCTGCCGCTACCTTGCTCACCAAGGTAATTGTAAATCTGGCTGCTACCTGGCTCACCAAGGTAAGTAAATCCTGCCGCTACCTTGCTCACCAAGGTAATTGTAAATCTGGCTGCTACCTGGCTCACCAAGGTAAGTAAATCCTGCCGCTACCTTGCTCACCAAGGTAAGTAAATCCGGCCGCTACCTGGCTCACCAAGGTAATTGTAAATCCTGCCGCTACCTTGCTCGCGGCCAAGGTAAGTAAATCCGGCCGCTACCTGTCTCGCGGCCAAGGTAATTCAAATTGTAAATCCGGCCGCTACCTGGCTCACCAAGGTAAGTAAATCCGGCCGCTACCTTGCTCACCAAGGTAAGTAAATCCGGCCGCTACCTTGCTCACCAAGGTAAGTAAATCCGGCCGCTACCTGGCTCACCAAGGTAAGTAAATCCGGCCGCTACCTGGCTCACCAAGGTAAGTAAATCCGGCCGCTACCTGGCTCACCAAGGTAAGTAAATCCGGCCGCTACCTTTTTTTTTTTTTTTAAGAGAGGCTGGGCCTGGTTGGCCCACGAGAGGATAGCATATGAATGCTTTGCCTACCTCTGGGGTATGGCAGTCCTGTGGGAGGATGCCAGTGGAATCAAGATGTGTAATCAAGGATGATGGTAAGTGTTGTGGGGTGTGTCATAGATAAACGCTTAAGTGGTGGTTGAGTGTGGAAGAGAGAGGCGAAATAAGACGGCGTTAAAGTAGTCGCTATGTTACACCTGTCTGGTCCAACTCCTCTGGCACCACTAAGCGTTTAGTGTGGTTTGTAAAGTTGACAATGGTGGAGATGTGTTGGTTGTCGAATATGTCATTGACAGAGAGGTAGTAGTCCCGGAAATATTGACCTCTTATTTGGGCAATAGCCGGGCACTGTCCGAGAAAGTGTGAGACAGTCTCCTCTTCGTCGCCGCATTTAGGACAAGCACTTGTGTCTGATTTGCGAATGGTGTGTAGGTGTTTGTTGAGGCCACAATGTCCCGTGATGAGGTGTACTGCAGTTCTATAATTTTGTCTGTTGTTACTGAGTGTAGTGTTGAGATTTTTGATGATGTTGATGTTTTTATGTCCAAGTGTCAGTTTAGTGTGTCTGGGACCATCAGTAATCCATGATTCTTGATTAAGTTTTGTGACTTTGCCGTTGATCAGGCGTTTGATGTAAGATTGTGGAATTGGGCAATTCAAAGTGGATTCACTGGTTGTACCATTTTTGGCCAGCTCGTCTGCTTTTTCATTACCCCACAATCCAATGTGTGCAGCTATCCATCTGATCTCTAAGGTGTTAGTGGATCCGAGTGTATTGAGGGTGTCGTAACAGTCTCTAGTAGTCCTACTCCTCGTTGAAGGTGAGGATATGGCTTGAATAGAGGAGAGACTGTCTGACCATATGATGATGTGTGTGTTTGTATAAGTTGATAGATATTTACAAGCTTCGATGATGGCAGTGAGTTCTGTTTGATAAACGGTGCAATAATCGGGAAGCTTGAATGATCTTTCATCTAGTGTAGTGTTGTTGTTGTCTGTGGTGATAATATAACCAGCCCCGCTACCTGAGTCTGTGCGTGACCCGTCTGTGTAGCAGGTGATGGTTTCACTGGGGATGTTGTCGATGGTGTTTTGGAGTGAGCCTCTATATCCAATGTTGTCAGCTCCAGGAGTGGTGACCGTGAAGCGTCGTTCAAGCATCATGGTTGGTATAGATAGGTCTCTCTCTGCTTTGGGTGGTATGTTGAGATCTACCATGAATTGTTTGTTGATAGTGGTGTGAGTTGTGATGGTACCTTTTCTGGGGGCGATAGTTTCGAGGGTTAGGCTTCCATAAGCTTGAAGCCTGGCTGTGCCCTTTGCTGCTTCACCTCTCAGGAAAAGTATGATATCTGGAGTGTTAGTGAGGTGGTTCAGTGCGATGAAGGGAGTACTAGGCATGGCACCAGACATCATTCTCAATGCCAATGCCTGAACTCGTTTGAACTTCCTCGCGTTGGTGTCTGTTTGGGTTGCTCTAATCCATATACTACAGCAGTATGATAGAATAGGTCTGATGACAGCGGTGTACATCCATTTGCATGTTTTTGGGCTCATACCCCAAGTGGGGCCGACAGCTCTTCTACATTGCATAAGGGATGCCGTAGCTTTTTTGGTGGTATTGGTGATATGTTCATTGAAATTGAGCTTGCTGTCGAGGGTCACTCCTAGGAATTTGGCAGATTTGGATAGACCTATAGTGGTGTTACCCACCACCACAGGTCTTAGTGTCCATTTCTTATTCCAGGTAAACATGACTATTTGTGTTTTGAGTGCGCTTATGGATAGATCTTTGGTTTGGCACCATTTTTCTATTGTGTTGATGGTTTTGCGTGTTCTGTTCCAGATGATGTCTAAATCATTCCCCTCCGCTAGAGAGAGCAGATCGTCTGCAAAAGCTTGCAGATAACCTGGTATGTCTCTTGCGGTGTAGGCCAGGAGATCATCGACTACCAGGTTCCAGAGGAAAGGGGAAAGGATGCCACCTTGAGGGCACCCTCTCCGGATCCGAACCCTTGTCGACTTATCCTTGTGATTTAATGTGATGAATCTGTTAGTTACCATGTTGATAATCCATTGTGCTGTGGCCAGATCCACTTTCGTGGTCTTGATAGCGTCAGAAATAGCCTTGAAAGAGACATTATCAAAAGCTCCCTCTATATCTAGAAAGACGCCTAGGACATATCCCTTCTTAGCTATCCTGCGCTCGATGGTGTGAGTAACTTTATGAAGGGCTGCTTCGGTTGAACATCCTTTCTTAAAGCCAAATTGTCGTTTGTTGATGTCTTTAGCGATATTAAGGTCGTGTTGCATATGCCACAGTATCACCTTCTCCTGTAGTTTTAACATCACTGGAGAAAGGGTGATAGTGCGAAATGACTTTGGTTGGTTGTAGTCAGTTTTTCCAGGCTTTGGGAGAAAGATTCCAAGGGATTCTTTCCACAAAGTTGGAATGTGTTGGGTTTCATGATTTTTTGTCATAATGGTTCTGGTGATGTCTTTGATGTGTGTCCAAGCTTTCTGTATGATGATAGGTTTGAGGGTGTCGGGTCCAGCAGCTTTCAACGGATCGAAGGATTTAAGAGCCTCCTCGATTCTGTCTGGGCTGTAGATGGTATTGAGTAAGGTGGTGGTGATTGGTAGAGGACCAGGTGGAGGCACTGGCGGATCAGTGACACTATCCTTGAAGTGGGTTCGTGTCATGACCTCCAATGTCTCCTCTGCATTTTTGGTGATGTCTCCGTTTGGTTTGTAAACGGCTTCTAGTGTATGTTTGTTGTCGTTACAGGATTTCAGAATCTTAT